AGTGGTGCAGGCAAGTGGTCAAGTGGTGCAGGCAAGTGGGCAAGTGGTGTGACTAAAGCAAGCCCATGTTGGAGAGAGTCTAGAAAGTACCAGTCCGGTCCAGCAAGTACCACGGGGGGGAACTGTGTGCACCATGGGCCAGGGACACAAGGCAGACCAATGCAGCACAGAAGTATAAATCAAGAGGCTGCGTCCATTCATTGATTCCTGCGGATGCCATTCGGAAACGCTGGCTAGCAGCTCGTGCGAGGAGGTCTGCAGAGTGCCCGAAGACGTAGAGTGCAGCGATAGGTAGTGGCAGCTATCGCTGCCATAGCTGTAGCCTAGCATGTGTGTGTGTGAAGTGTGATACTGAGTGTTGCGTGTGGGACATCCAGGGTGATCCAGAGTGCGAACAGTGAGTTGTGTGGGCGCTCAGTCGCCATAGCCAGTTTGAAGAGAACTCTTATGTGGATACGATATCTTGAGTACTGAGTGGGCGCCTGTCGCCAATTTGCTGTTTCGCTGTTTGCATACATGACAAGTTGAATAATCGTAGTGTGATTTCAAACATTACTGACTCTAGTATTTGGGGGGGCAGGTCGTTATTAGGCGACTACACCTTCTTGCGAACTTACCCCACCACTGTGTGGGATTTGCAAAAGGGAGCGTGAAGAACATCTTTCATACCCCGCCTAAGAAAAAAGATGGAATGAGCCCTCTTTTTCAAGTATTTTATGCTTGGCCATTCTGAAACTTTTGGGGGAAAGCAGCCCTTACCCAAAAGAAAATTTCGAGCTGGGGGCGCGGCCGGTTTCGGAGCTCGCGCGGTGAGTTTAACATTTTTGCCGAGTTGGGGGCCCTAGGAAATTACGAAACCCCTACTCTCTTTTTTTTTTGTGGACCTAATTCTTCCAGTGCGCTGCGCTTCGGTGTGCTGTGCAGTGCGCAATTCGTGCGCAAATCCGCGCACCGAGGTGCGCCGCAACTATGGTCTAGATACAATGATAATGACTGTACGTTTTACTTGGGGTGACCCAATTGGATAAATGGCTGCAGCCCCAAGGTATCCCCTTTTACTCAGCTCATCGGTTGAGCAACCAGGGAGACGCAGTGGCATGATCGCATCGCTCCAAACTTTGTGTGTGGGCTCTGTGTGGCATGGTCAGATCACGAAAGACAAAATTGCACCTATTTCTAAATGGCAGAAGACAACGAAGAATCTACAAGGGTTGAGGCTTTGGTTTCGTATGTAGGACGTCTGGGATAGGCAGACCTGTCCAAGATCCATATGTGGAATCTTTACATGACCATCAGTTCAAGAAGATACATGGCAAAAAACTGGGTGGGTGAGTGTGTGCATCAACAGAATGGATGGGATGAATGAGATGGACACCCCCCCCCTCCTCCTCTTCATTGTCGTCATCGTCGTCATCCTCCTCCTCCTCGTCATTGCCATCCTCCTCCTCGTCGTTGTCATCCTCGTCGTCGTCGTCCTCTTCCGCCTCCTCGTCATTGCCATCCTCCTCCTCCTCATTGCCGCCCTCCTCCTCCTCCTCCTCCTCCTCCTTCTTCTTCTCCTCCTCCTCTTCCCCCCCCTTCCCCCCCCTTCCTCCTCCTCCTCCTCCTACTTCTTCTTCTTCTTTTTCTTTTTCAACTTTTTTGTCTTCATCTACTTCGTCTTCTTCTTCATCATTTTCCTGGCTTCTCCCTTTTCGTTTTCTTCCTCTGCCTCCTCCTTCTCCATTTCCTCTTCTTCCTGTTGCTCTTCTTTCTCCCTTTTCTTCCTCTTCTTCTCCTCGTTCCTCTTTGTCCTCTTCTTTTCTTCCTGTGCTTCCTCCTCTCATCGTTGTCCTCATCCATCTCCTTTTCCTCTGCTTTCTCTGTCTCCTCCCCTGCTCCTCTTGCTCCACATGTCACACCCCCCCTCACTTTTCCACGGCGACTTTGGATGTTTCCAGCTCTTGCTCCGATACACGTCACACTCCTTTGTTCTTTCCCAGGCTACTACATCGTGTTCACGTAATCAATTGCCCAATCAACTGCTCAATCAATCAATCAATCAATCAATCAATCAATAAATTGCTCAATCAATCAATCAATCAATCAATCAATAAAAAAGTGAATGATTCATGGAAGTTATTGAAGAGAAGGTTGTCCACTTGATCCACTGATTGATTGCTTAATTAAAGTTAATTTATTGATTCGTAGATGAATGAATGATTGATTGATTGACTTGGTGAGGGTTTGCCATTATTTGTGGTTATATCAGCCGTGCTATTTCACTCCGTACAATGCTTCTCTGCCGACTTGCGATCCTGTTGGGTGCGATGAGCCGCCTGGAGGGTTTGGTGCACTTAGCAATCCGGTAAGTTGTCGACCAGACTCCACCTTTTAAATTATTATTATTATTATTTTTTGTAACAGTTTCTTGCAGTCGACAGGTCTGATGAGTCTGCGGCATATTCCATAAAGTATTAAAAATAATAAGAATAACAATAATGAGATTCACTCTCATTAGTCCCCAAAGATTAGTATAGTTCCCATGGATGTTCAAGTTCTTCACCCTCCTACTTCAGGGGTGTTTTCACAAAGACCCCAGTTTTCTAAAACTCTTCTGAAGAAAATGAGGTTGCTGACGTGTCTTCTTTGTATTTTGGTCACCGCGGCATGCTCACATTTGGGAAATTAATAATTATGTTTTTCCCTACTCCTTTCACCTTACCTTTCATCTTCACTCGAGCGCCTGGTAAATGTCACGGTATTGAGACAAACAGGTGACCCAAGTCCATCTATAATGACCGGCGAACTGGTCGGGTGAAGAGGGGTAGTTCAATTGCTTTGTCATCAGTGAATGCTTGCTTGCTTACTCCCACCCACCCGGCACCCTTGTCTTTATACCTCCTAAAGTGTGGCGCGGGCCCATGTAACGCCCTCCTCTTCTTGTGTTTCGTCCATCCTGACCCATTCGTCTGGTTTCCCCGATATCAAACAGTAGTACCTAGCTTGTCAGATTGCTTTGGTGCTGACTTGTGCTCCACAGCCCAAGAAGCTGGGTATGATGGGGGGTGTTTGTGCACGTCCAACCTAAGAATCGAACACGCAACCTACGGCTTGCCCGGCAGACACGTAACCCATAGGGTAAGTGGGCAGGCGAAAAAGTGAAGCCCCAAGATGAGTGCTTCACCCTACCCCAGCGCGGAGTACTCCGTGACCCTGTGGACCCATCCACACTCACCGCCATGAGCTTGGCGATCACAACCTGTAACCCTTCATCCGTGTTATTTTTATCATCCTCATCGTCATTGTCATCATCATCATCATCATCATTATCATCGTTAGTCCCCTCCTCTGCATGGGCACCATCTTCATCATCGTCTTTTTCAGGTATTTCTGTTTCTATTATGGTTACGACCGTTACGTACATTCGGGTCTATTTTATTGCTCTTCAATTCTTATGTACATTGAGTAAGTGGAGGTGAAGGAGAAGAAGAAGAAGTACCAACAGCCTGTGACTGAATGGTATGTACACACGTGACTGGTGGAAAGCAGATCACTAGTTCGAATCCTGATGCATACAGTACTAACATGAGCATATCCCTCACTAAAACAAAAAGAAGACAAAGAAGTTTTTTTTTTTTTGTTGGTTTGGCATTGCTCAATTCTTCAGCCATGACAGGTGCTCCATTGGGATGCGTGTATGGCAGCATCTGTCAAAAACAAGTATAAAACATCCTCTTTTGTCTTTTACCTTGCTCGTCTTTCAAAGTTTTGCTTGCTGCTTCGTTCACTTCGTCAATCCCCTTCACAGGATGAGCGCAATGTCCGATTTTGCCGACTTGCTGGTTGTTGTGCAGCTTTGCTTGAGGACCTGCTCTACTCCGAACAGCACGTGTGACACAGCATACAAGAAGGCGTTGGCATATCACACAGTATGTGGCAGAAATATTACAGGCATTCTGACAACGCAGCTCCTGGAGAAACTGGACAGTGTCTGTGAACCGTGTAATGTGCAAGTGAACTGTTCCGTCGGGAACAATGAGGTCGTAAGGGCAATGGCAATTCAGCAGCAGGAGCAAGGAAGCACGGGCAGTGGAAGCAGCAGGGTGAGATGTGGGATATTTCTGATGTGGAGCAGTATGATTGCTGCGTTTAGCATCCTCTTTGGGGGGGGCTAAGCGTCGAAATGCCGCGGCCAATGTTATCATGGTAGGGTGGGGTGTGGGAAAGGGGGTAAGGAGAGGGTGCAAGGCGACGGTGTGAGGGGAGGGTGCGAGGAAGGGAGTCTGTTAAAAGAAAGGATGTTGCTTGTCAAGTCGGACGACGAGTTGCGCGTGCAGGGTTGGGGAACGTAAGAGGGAAGGAGAAGGTGCAAGGGTGTGCAGTGTGAGGCTCTGTTGACAGCAAGATGTCCCTCGTCAATTCGACGGCCTACGATCAGGGTAGGGGTGTGCCGAAGTTCGGAGGAGAGGGTGTGGTGTTGACGGCTGTGTGTCCAGAGGGAACGTGTCAATGGAGGGGGGCGGCTGTGGTCGTTTTGCGCCTTTTCAAGTGAAAAATGACCTATTTGTCAATGGAGGGGGGGGGGTCTGTTGAAGAGGGAAGTAGAAAAGGAGAGAGGGTATGCTTGAGGCCTGTTAAGAGGAAAGTGTCTGTCCTTTGTCAAGTTTAGGGGTGCAGACCAGCGAGAGCCTGTTTGGAAAAGCTGGTAGAGGTATTTCAAAGAGCGGAGTGGAGGGTGTGTTGGGGGTCTGTCGAGAGGTAAGCCGTCCATCTGTCCCTCTTCAAGACGAAGATGACCACGTATGAGTGGATGGGTGTATCAAAGAGGGAAGGAGACTTAGGAGAGGGAGTGTTGGGGGTACGTCGAGAGGAGCGGGATTCCGTCCGTCACCTGTCAAGTCGATGATCAGTTATCACACTGGAAGGCAAGAAGGAGAGGGTGGGTCAGGCGGGGAGTCCGTCAAAAGGAAGGTGGCCATTCATTAATGCGTTCAAGGGTGAAAAGGCCAGTAAGAGAGCTTGGTTGGACAAGCAGGCCTTTCAGGCTTGTGGGGTGCTTTTCAGGAAGACGACATGAAGCATGTGGCTAAGCCCCACGAGGACTGGAATAGGGTGGGGCACTGCGTGGGCCCAGATTATGCTTGCCAAGAAGGTTCAGCATTTGTCAAAAGGAAGGTGACGGGTTTGTTGGTGAGTTTAAACCCACCAGTAAACCTGGAAAGTTGCGGACGTAAGCTAGCCACGACGCGCTCTGAGGAACGGGCCTGGACTGGGTGGGGCGCCCAAATTCATCCGAGTCCAAACGATTCTACTCTATTTTTTTTTCCGACGGCCCGTGTATGGTCGGGGTACTGGCGGTTTAAGAGTGCAGGCCAGTGAGAGCTTGGTTGGGCAAGCCGGCCTTTCAGGCTCCTGGGGTGCTACCGGAAGACAACAGGATGTGCATGGCTAGGCCGTGAGGAGTGGAAAAAGGGGGGCCATTGCTTGGATGCAGATTTGCCTGGCAACGAAGGTTCAGCGGTCAATAATATGGGTGTGTCACAGTATGTATTTGGCCATGGAATTGCTATGAATCCATGAATGTATCATTCATACAAAAGTCCCTCTGTGCAGGATGCAACAGATTCATAGTTCACTGGGGCCCGATTTTGTCAGGTATGTAAAGCGCTTGTTGTCTCCGGGTATAGCATATGTCCTGTCATCCATGAGGGAGGAACTAGATGGAAAGGGATTGGCCGGGGAAGTGAGAATGCTTCTCTGGTTTAAATTCTTTTGTTGTAGTTTCAATCAACGTTCAGAGAGAATGCTACGTACGTCGTACGACCAATACTCTGTTTTTTTTTTTTTTTTTTTTTCCCCTACCTCTGGTGTTGGTTAACTGCAATGGAACTGATGAAGGGATAGGATGGATAGGATGGGAGGTGTAAGTTGTCTTGCTGTGAAAAAATAGTGGAGCAAACAATATGTATGCAGTACTACGTATGAAAAGAACGTCCGATCTTTGTTGAAGTTATGGGTTAGACGGAGTTGCTGTATCGCAGTTTCACGTTTGTGTTATTAACCTTGATATACTCCTGTGAAGGTGCAGGTTTGCTCTGCAGGCTCAGGCCTGGCTGAGCAGCAGTGTGTGCATACTAGATATGTTGAGGCAATTGACTTGACTTTGGTCTGCTGTTGTTGGCTTGCTTCAGTTTGTTAGGTCAGTGTGTAAAGGTTTGTTCTACAAGCTCAGGCCTGGCTGAGCAGCAGTGTGTATATACTATATATGTTCAGGCAATTGGCTTGACTTTGGTCTGCTGTTGTTGACTTGCTTCAGTTTGTTAGCTCAGTGTGAAGGTCTGTTCTGCTGCCCTGCAGTCGCAGGCCTGGCTGAGCAGCAGTGTGTATTTATGTTCAGCCTGTTCAGGCAATTTACTTAAACTTCAGTCTGCCGTTATTGGCTTGCTTCAGTATTTTAGGTCAGTGTAAGTGAGAAGAGTGATTCTCTTATAGCTTGGCTTGGCTGCACACAATTACATTTCAGATGAAAAGGGACAGCCGAGCGTAAGCTGCACACAATTAGAGTGCAGATGCAGATGCAAACGGCGGGGCAGTATTTTTACAATGTGGAGGTTTAGTCCTCTTGCATCTCTCCTTTGATCGATTAGAAATTGGAATGCATATGCAAGCGAAGGGACAGCTTAACTCCTGTGTTTCACAGGTTAGGGGTATTGAAGATTCGTGTGTAATTTGTTCTTGCAGTGGGCATGATGAGTCGGGCTTCGGTTTTCGTTTCAGTCCGCAGCACCTGGCTGCCTTTTGATTTGGCCTGCGCGTTCAAAGCTGCTCACTGTTTTTGTAACTTTTCTTCATTACTCTTTGATGGAATCTTTAGCCTGCGAGTCTCAAAGCCGTCCTCATTTTCTTTCTTTCGATTTGTCGAACACCA